ACATCCCCCTCTCCCCTTTTCCCCAAGAATAAACAGTTCACTCCCCTTCCATACCTCTGATTCTATTATATTCAACAGTAAATATTGTTCCTCAGATTTTTTTTTTTTTTTTTTTTTAGTTTCCTTGGTTTTTAGATTCACTTGTTGATAGTTACGTATTTGTTGTTCATAATTTTTATCTTTATTTACTTTCTCTTCCGAAAGAACCCCCTTCAGCAATTCATATAATTCTGGTTTGGTGGTGATGAACTCCTTTAGCTTTTTTTTATTAGTGAAGCTCTTTATATGGCCTTCGATTCTGAGTGATAGCTTTGCTGGGTAGATTATTTTTGGCTGTAGGTTCTTGCTATTCATCACCTTGAATATTTCTTGCCATTCCCATCTGGCCTGCATGGTTTCTGTTGAGAAATCAGCTGACAATCGTATAGCTGCTCCTTTATAGGTAACTACCTTCTTTGCTCTTGCTTCTTTTAATATTCTCTCTTTGTCTTTTGCTCTTGGAATCTTAATTATGATTTGTCTTGGTGTGGTCCTCTTTGGATTCCTGTTGTTTGGAGTTCTGTGTGCTTCCTGGACTTGTAAGTCTAATTCTTTCACCAGGTGGGGAAAGTTTTCTGTCACTATTTCTTTCAGTATGTTTTCGATATCTTGCTCTCTCTCATCTTCTGGGACCCCCATAATTCTGATGTTGGTTTGCTTGAAGTTGTCCCAGAGGTTTCTTACATTATCTTCAACTTTCTGGATTCTCTGGCCTTCTTGCGTCTGCGGAGGAGTGTCTTCTGGCTCTTTATGTTCCAAATCTTTGACTTGATTCTTGCGATCTTCCATTCTGTTTTTAGGACTACATAAAATATTTTTTATTTCAGACAATGTATTCTTTATTTCTTGTTGATCCCTTATTATTTCTAGTTGATCCCTTTTCATATCCTCATAGGTCTTGTTTATTTTATCGGCCTTTTCTAGGAGATTCTTGAACAACCTTATAAGTGTGGTTTTGAACTCTATATCCAGTCGCTTTTTGTCCTCCATTTCTTTCGTTTGTGATCTATTTGGTTTAGGCATTTTCGCAGGCAGCTTTCCTGATGGGGCGGGGTTTCAGGGTGGAGCCTACAGCCTTGGCTTCCGTCAGCCCCGCCCTATGCGACTCCTGAGACTCAGGGTCCTTCAGTACTTGTTGCCAGCGCCTCTGAGAGAAAGGTGCCCTCGATTTTCGCCTGCTGCCAAACTGTCTATGCTCTCCCCCAATGAGTCCGGTATTGGGGTTCAGTTCAGTTGGTAGTGGGATTGGAGGTGGCGTTCAGAGCAGTCTGAAGCCCCTGTCTTCTTCCCGTCAGGGCAATCCCGCGGCACAGCCGGCCAGCCCTTCTCTGCGCGCAGTGTGCGCGCCTCCGGGACCTCCTTTCGCCGCTTCCCCGGAGTCCCGCCTTACAGCCCGGCTCCCTATGGATGAGCCTGGGTCCTCGGGGTCTGGCCTAGAATTGGGGTTCAGAGCAGTTGGAGCTGGGCCCAGCACAGTCGGAGCTTTTCTCTCCTTCCCACTTGGGACCGCCAGCCAGGCACTCGGCCTCCCTCCTCTCCAGCTGTGTCCTCTCCACGTGCGCCACGTGTCTCCGTACCGTGGGCTTTTACAGCTCCTCCGCGCTTCCTTCTGGTTTTCTCCTTGCTTCTTGTTGTAGAATTTCCAGTCAGTTGACTTTCCTGTAGTTCTGGGTAATGTCCATTTTATATTTTAGTTGTATTTTGTGGAAATTGTTGTGTGCGGCTGTGGCTAGTTGCCTACCCGAGCAGCCATCTTGGATTCTCTCCAGACTCTCAGTTTTTAAAGAAATATTACCAGAAGCCTGGAATGATACATCCTCCTTTCCTCCAACTGATGGACAGACATAAACTCCACCTGCAGCCGGACATTCTTGAGCATTGATCCACCAATCAGCACCTGCCAAATACCCTAAGCCCCTGATTCCTAAGTCCCTAATCACAGGCCTTGCATGAAACCACCAATCAGTGCGTGCTGAGTGCCCTAAGCCCCATCCCTTCTGCTCCCCTGAAAAAGTGCGTGTACCACGGCCCTCGCACTCTTCCACTCTCTCTGGAAGCAGCTGGCAGTGGCACACTTCTCTTCAATAGAGCCTGTGTCCTGGCATCCCAGTCTCCGACCCTCTCTACTTCATCTTTTACCTACCACCACAGCATTTTTGTTTCACTCTCTTCCCAGGACAGCCCCTGCCTTTCCCCCTCTCTTCCCAAGGCCTGTTACTATCATCTTCCTCACTCCCAAGCTCCAAGGGCCCTTCCTTTACGTGTATAATATCCTCTAGACATTACTTTTCCTCCCTCTGTGATTTACCAGATAAATGTCCTCTTACAGTTTGGGTCGTGGCTCTGAATTCTTTGCCAGCCAGAACCCAAGTACCAAGGTTGCTGACCCCAGGTTTGACCTGACTCCACAGGTCAGACACCTGGAGCCCATCCACCATCTACAACACACACAATGTAGAGTCCTCTTGTGGGACTCTGTGGAGCTTTGTGACCCTTTGGGGAAGTGTCCCTGTTTGGGGCAAGACATCCCGCAATCCTGGGGTGGCCCACATGGTAACAAAGGATAGCTGGGACCCGGGGGGGTGGGGGTGGGTGGGGTGGGGGGAGAAGTGCTGTGTGCTGCTCCTTGTTAGGTCCCCAAAGGAGCCAAAGGAGGCCAGAGTGGAGAGGGATTTATTTGGTCATCCGCACACCACCTGGCTGAGCCTGCATGGCGCCAGCACCCGAGGACAGGAGTCAGCAGCCTTGACAGGACTTTTGGCGGGCTTTCTGGGGGGCGAAGACCTCTCTATGCATACCTGGAGGGGAGAGAATGGAAGTGGTCAGCACAAGTGAAATGTGCTCTCAGAAAAGGGAATATCCATAGTGAAATGACCTGAAAAGCCAGTTCCCGGGCGAGGGGTGTTGACTCAATTGCTCCAACAAACCTAACACTCCCTAGGTTTTGTGTACTCCGATTAGGGGAAATCAGGCACTCCTGGGAACAACCAAGTTGGGGTCCCCGGTCCCACCCCCACCCAGCCTCTCAGGGGGCCCACATCCACTTTCCCCCCTCTTTTGCTAGGGGAAGAAATGGTATTCCTGCTCTGTTAACTGGGATTGTTCTGTTCTGGTTAGAGAATGCATATCCTAACCTGGCTGAGAGTTGCACTCCCCGGGACATGGGCGTCCTGGAGAGCAAGTACCCTGGAAAGATCAACAACCTTGTTGCAGAGGAGTCCCAGATGTGCCTGTGCTTTGCCAATCCCCACCACACATGGCCTGAGTGGACTGGAAAGGGGCTACATGCTGGCTGGCGGCCTTGGGAGGCGGGGGCCTTTTGGGGCAGGGATGGGGTACGGGAGGACCACAAAAAAGAGGATGGTCTGAATTTGAACACCATTGGAGAGCAGTTTGTGGTGGGTGGTCATGTCCTAGGCTAGTTCTTTGGCAACAAGAACTTTGATCTTGCCTGAGCCTATTGCCTTTTTGCATTTGGAAGGTGGGGGGAGGGAGTAGAGAGGGGGGAAGGTTCAGCAAACCTGTGAAATGTGAGAGTGACTTGTGGCCTCCCTTTTTCTGTACCCCTCAGGGTGAGAAGACTAAAAGGCTAATTCCAAAGTAATCCTGATATTTAGGGGAGTGTGTGTGTGTGTGTGTGTGTGTGTGTGTCTGTGTGTGGGCGGGGGGGGGGGGGGGGGGGGGGGGGGGGGGAGTCCTAGAAATCTGAATGTGTGCCAGTAATCTAATGTACATTCTTGATGACTGTAATTAAGTCACTGCCCCTTTCTCCACAAACTGGTCCTGCAAGACCTGTTAGCTAAATGATCCCATCTTACAGGGGCCATAAACCATGACACAGCCCCTGGAGGGGGTTATAGTGCTGGTGACAGGCCAGGCCCTTCGGTATGGTCTCAAGCCCCCCAATACCTGGGGCTTTTTGCAAAGCCTGAGAATGGTCTGGAAGTATAATCCATATTTGGGGGACAAAGACACCAAAAGGGGGTAAAAGAGGGACTTCCATCATATGGGTTTGCTCAGGATTTGAGAGGCAACCTCCTCTGAGTCCACCGAAGTAATAAAGCTGTGTAACTCCATTTCTCTCAGCTTTGCTTGGTTTTTCTCCAGTCTTCTGTAACAAGGGCACAACCAAGGCGGGAAGGACACCGTAAGTTCCTTCATTGTTATGTTGGCTGTTGACTGCTGACTGTCCTGTGCCCACCTGGGTAGAAGATGTCATTTTATTTTTCATCCATTTCCAGAGGCTTCCGTCCTCTGCTTTCTCCCACCTCCAGGGTCTGTGTGTCGCGGGCGGATCTCATGTGACCCACTGCGTCTCCACCTCTGCTTGTGGTGTGCAAAGCGGTGTGACGGGACTGTGGATATCCGGGGCATTACCCCACTACACTGAGATTCTGTTTTCTGGCAATTGTTGGCAGTTGGGCTCAAATTAAGGCACAGAAATTCTTTACAGGTTTGAATGTTTCTTTCTTTTTATGTTAACACTTCTTATCTGTAACCGTTACACGCACTTTTATTCCTTTTGCCTACTTTCCCAGGTAATCTTTGTCCTTCTTACCACACAAGCTGCTGGCTTGGGGGGATGCAGACCAGGCTTTGGGGATGACCTGCCGGTCTGCCACAGGACAGGGGCTCAGGGGAGTCAGCCTGTCCCTGCTGGACTGGCTCAAGTAGCCACCAGCGCCCGCCCCCTTAGCTGTGGGGCTTCCCCTTCAACCTCTGCCCCCACTCCTCATCCCAGGACCCTCACCCCAACCCCAACCTGGCGGGAGGTGGGCGTGCCCCCGGCCAATGGCCACCGGCTGCCAGGCAGGTGGACAGGAACAGGGCGGGGATTGGGCCCGCTCGCCGGAAGTGGTGCGTGGAGCCTCTGTCCGCGAGCGGCCCGGCAGCGGAAGCGCTCGCCCCGTGCGTGCGTGCGTGCGAACGTGCGTGCGTGCGTGCGTCTGCGTGCGTGCGTGGCCAGTTGCGCCGCCCGGGCGGCCGCGGAGGGCGCCATGCGGCTGGGCTGCGGGGCCTTCGCCGCGGGCTGCGTGGCGGTCGAGGTGCTGGGAGTCGCGCTCTTCCTGCGGGGCTTCTTCCCGCCTCCCGTGCGCTCCTCCTCCCAGCCCGCGCCCCCGGCGGCGCCCGAGCCCTCGGCAGGTACGGCCCCGCCTCCGGCCGCCCTTGGCCCGAGGCACCTCCTCCGGAGCCCCTCCGCGCGGGCTCTCCCGGACCCCGCCCAGGCCCCTCTCCGGACGCTCCAGGCTCCGTGTCCGTCCGACAGCCCGACACCCGCCCCCGGCAGCCCGTCTCCACCTCCGGTCCGGTCACCGGAAAGTGCGCTCTCCGCGCCGGGCCGCCCCTCCAGCCCGCGCCCCGTCCCCGAGCAGCTCCGCGCCCCGCGTCCCCGGCACCCGTTTGGCTCCTTGAGCCACAGCAGATGGAGGTTCCCGCGGAGCCCTCGCTGTCGTCTCTCACATTCCTGACGGCCGCCCCGGGGACCCCTCCTTGGCCCCTCCGGGCAGTGGGTGCCAGGCAGAGGCTCCGTTTGCCCAGGTCCGCTCCGCGAGCCGCTGACCCTGTGGACACGGTCGCCGGCTGCCGGGAGCTCCCCGTCCGCGCAGGGAGGCGCGCGTTGCAGGAGCAGCGCCTGCTTGTGCCTCTCCAGCGCCCTCGCCTGGCAGGGAGTCCGGGCCCAGCACTCACTCCGTGCCGCGCAGCGGGCAGTTCCTAAGTCTGTCCTGGGGGCCGCGGCCGCCTGGTGGGAGCCGCCCCGCACGCTGTAGGGGAGGCCATTGCTCTCTGGGAGGGCCCATGCAGACCTGGCGGGAGCTGTGCTACAGACGTGGGCAGAAAGTCGGCTGGAGGGCATGGAATGCTAAGTAAAGCGGACAGCTACGTTTTCTTTTTCCTTTCAAACCCTTTTAGGAGCCAGTTCCAGTGGGACCAAGCTCCTGCCACCTCTCTTCGGGAAAGTTGTTGTTATGCTAATCGATGGCTTGAGAGATGATTTTGTGTTTGGATCAAAAGGTGTGAAATTTATGCCCTACACAACTTACCTTGTGGAAGAAGGAGCATCTCACAGTTTTGTGGCGGAAGCCAAGCCACCGACAGTTACTATGCCTCGAATCAAGGTAAACCCTTTAGCACCGTGTTTCATGAATCACTAGGCGCCAGATGCACGAAATTCATGCGGGGGGTTCAGCCCTCGCAGCCCCTCGAAGCCCTGGCTTCGTCCTATTTAGCACATTAGCTCTTTATTAGATAGGATGGTTTGGCTCTAAGAGGCTTAGAGGGCTCTCCGTAGTCTGTTACTTGTCCACATTTGAAATGCATTTGGTGCCCTCAGCCTGGCTGGGGCAGTAGAGGGACATAAGGTGGAACTGAGACCTCCATTTGTGCCCCTTTTCAAGTAGCCGGAGTTCATGCTAACTGGGAGGCATGAAGGACTGAAAGCCAGCTACTCCAGGACAGCCTAGTCTCAGGGATGCCATCCTCCTTGCTACCCTGTTGTTTTCTGTAGTGGTCATTAGGTCAGTTATAATCCTGGAGAGCCTTTAGGGTTCTCTAGTCCAGCCTCTACAAGGGAAACTCAGACTTGCCCAGCTCTGAAACAAACAGTGACTGACCCAGCAGGGTCTGGCCTCCACAGTAAGTGGAGGCCAGAGTAAGCTGCCTGCAGGTGCTCAGCTAGTGAGTTTGGCATTCAAGTGCCTAGTGCTTCACCCAGGAACTATGGGTAAAGAAACGACTAAAGCTTGATTAGGGGCCGTCTCCAAAGGAGGGAACAGGCTTGAAGTACCCAAGTCACGTGGCTGGAGTGGGGGCTGGAGTACAAGGCTGCCTGGCTCCAGTGACTGGCTGTCCTGAGGCAGCAGACGGCAGCACTGCTGAGCAGGGTGGCTGAGACAGGTCCTTCCCTCAGAAGGCAAGAACCCCCCGTTCCCAAGGCCATGGCAGCCACGGGAACCTCCAAGGAGATGACAGTCCTGAGTTCTCACTTAACACTTCCTACAGCCCCAACTGCAACTCGGTTGCTACGTGCATGCTCTCTGGGGTGACAGCCCAGAGGGTAAGAGGAGTTCCACTGGGGAAAGAAATTGAAATGCCCATGAAACATGTGAAAAGATTCTTTTTACTTTACTAGTAATCATAGCAACTCAAAACCATGTGCAAGGCCAAGTGTTGTCTATCACATTGTAAACATTTAAAGATTGATGAGAAATGAGGTGAACAGGTGTCTGCATTCTGAGAATATAGCTGAACTGAGCCACCTGCCTCATCCAGGCCAGTGTGGTCCCCAGCTCGGGCTACTCAACTGAGTGCCCTCCACTGTGCCTACTCCCCAGGCCACGTGGCTCTCTGCCCGTTTACCTCCCCCTCATCTGAGCTACTTTTCCTGTCATGATCACATGTAGCTAGCTCCCATGCACACTGCCCTCTGGCTTGGAGCCTTTGCACTTCACTGCGTCTCCCTAGGAAGACTCCACCTCACGACACTTCAATCTCAGGTCTCGGCTCAAATGTACTTCCATTGGAAGGTTTTCAAAGTAAATGCCCATTAAAATGGACTTGATTAAATATATTGTGCATTCAAATATTGGATGGAAATATCTTGTGTATTCAGACACTAAAAGCAGCCTCAGCTGGTATGGCTCAGTAGATAGTGCCAGCCCTTGTACTGAAGAGCCGTGGGTTTGATTCCATGTCAAAGGCACATACTGGTTACAGGTTCCATCCCCAGCCCGGTTGGGCCTGTGCAAGAGGCAACCGATGGATGTGTCCCCTCCGTGTTTTACCACCCCACTTTTCCAGTCTTTTAAAAGGAAAAAATATCCGTACAAAAGGGTTAATGTGTGTGTGTGTGTATACATATGTATGTGGTTTTTATAGCTATTGTTTTCTGGGGAAAGAAATTCGTGGTTATTAATTGGAAAACAAAACTAAGTTGTAAAATTATTTGCATAATCTGTTAACCATTTTGGTGCAAAATGTATTCTTGTGGAAATAGGTTGTACACCTACAGAGAAAAAGTATGAAAGGGTACTTGCCAGAAATAAAGTTATCTTTTTATTATTATTATTATTATTACTAAGGTATTGTATGTGTACATATCTTACCATTGCCCTCCCCACTCCCATACATGCCCTCCCTCCTCAGAGTTTTTCATCCATTGGTTATGCTTATATGCATGCATACAAATCCTTCAGTTGATCTCTCATCTCCCCCATATCTCCCTATCCTCCCCACTGTAATTTGACAGTCTTTGTTGCTTTACTGTCTCTGTATCTATCTTTTTATTCATCAGTTTATACTGTTCTTTATTAATCATAAATGCGTGAGATCATGTTTTGGTTTTCTTTCATTGACTGGCTTATTTCACTCAGATAATGTTCTCCAATTTTATCCATGTTGCTACAAATGATAAGAATTCCTTCTTATTTATGGCAGCATAGTATTCCATTTTGTAGATGTACCATAGTTTTCTGATCCAGTTATCTTCTGACGGGCTCCTAGGCTGTTTCCAAATCCTATCTATTGTAAATTGTGCTGCTATGAACATAGGGGTGCATGTATCTTTTTTGATTGGTGTTTCTAGTTTCTTAGGATATATTCCCAGGGAGTGGGATTACTGGATCAAATGGGACTTCCATTTTCAGTTTTTTGAGGAAACTCCATACTGTTCTTCACAGTGATTGCACCCACCAGCAGTGCACGAGGGTTCCTTTTTCTCTGCAACCTGGCCAACACTTGTTGTTTGTTGATTTGTTGATGTTAGCCAGTATGACAGGTGTGAGATGATACTGCATTGTTGTTTTGATTTGCATCTCTCGGATAATTAGTGACTTTGAGCATGTTTTCATGTGCCTCTTGGCCTTCCTTCTGTCTTTTTTTGAAGATATCCTTTTAGGTCCATTGCCTAAACCAATTATCTTTAGGAAGTAGAATTTGGGATAAGAAAGAGGCTCATATTTTAAAAAATAACTTCAGCCCTTACTGGTTTGGCTCAGTGGATAGAGCGTCAGCCTTCAGACTGAAAGGTCCCAGGTTCAATTCCGGTCAAGGGCACATGCCCAGGTTGCAGGCTCAGTCCCCGGGGGGGTTGAGGGGGGTCCAGGAGGCAGCTGATCCAGGATTCTCTCTCATCATTGATGTTTCTATCTCTCTCTTCCTCTCCCTTTCTCTCTGAAATGAATAAAAAATATATTTTTAAAAAGAAAAAGAAATAACTTTAGCTCTGGCCAGTGTGGCTTGGTTGGGTGTCTCGGTTAGGTGTCCTTCCTCTGCATCGGAGGGTCCCTGGTTCAATTCCTGGTCAGGACGCACATCGTGGTTGTGGGCTCCAGCTGGATGTCTCACCTTTACCTCTGTTGCCCCGAGCTTATGGAAGTCCACTATACTTGTCTTCGTCTCTCTAGAAATCATTAAAAAAATATTTTTTTTAAAGTTCCTTTGTTGAGATAGAATTTTTGTGCAATCCAGCACATACATTTGTATGTGCATAGTTGGACGTGACATAACATGTGAATATCCATGCTCTACACCTCCACTTGAGATTGACCTCGCTCAGGAGTGGTGGCTGTTGTCACTTTTTTTTTTTTTTTTAAGTATATTTTATTAATTTTGTACAGAAAGGAAGGGAGAGGGATAGAGAGTTAGAAACATTGATGAGAGAGAGTCATTGATCAGCTGCCTCTTGCACACCCCCTACTGGGGAGATGCCCGCAACCAAGGTACATGCCCTTGACCGGAATCGAACCTGGGACCTTTCAGTCCCCAAGCCGACGCTCTATCCATTGAGCCAAACCGGTTTCGGCAGTCACTGTTATTTTGTTTGTGTGACATGACTTGCCTAAACTAGGTAGGCTAGGGAGTTTCTCCCTGAGTGTAGTCTCTGAGGTTGTTTTTCTGATTCTTGTTTTTAGTTTTAGTATTTCCAAGGGTCACTCGGGGTCAGCGTAGGCTAGTGATTGGTCAGAAGTTGTGCATAAAGACCTAATGTGGTGAGACCACCCTTAGTGGGGTCATGTGTGGGTCTGGCCAGATGCTCACTGGTCAGGGCCTTAGTCTTCCGCCCTGTCTCCTTTCTCTGAGGGTAGGCCTGTCCAGCCAGCAGGAACTAGTAGGTAGGCCTCGCTCTCCAGTCTTCTGAGTGTACAAGCAGCCTTCCAAGTGCCAGGAATAGGTGGAGCTGATGGGGCTCCACCACACCTCTCTCATCCCTCCACTTCCCTTCTAAAGTTTGGGCTGATCTCTTTCCACAACCAGCACGGCGCCTCGGGCAGCTGTTGAGGTGGCCTTGCCATGAACACCACACCCTGGCGTGGCTCTGTCCCTGGAGCCAGCTCCAAATTGAGGGCCCTCCTATCCTCTGCTTCTGCAGCACGGAGCCAGGACGGAGGGCGCAGCCCCTTTAAAGCCCTGCTGGGACTCACGGTGCTTACTGTGACCTTGCCATTTGTCTTGAGTGAGAACCTCTCAAAGGTTTGTCTCTCCTTGGTGAGTTTTTAGAGTCCCCAAATGGTGGTTTTGACAGTTTTATGCAGAGTCAACTTACCCTTGGGGGAGAAAATGGGGCAAGCTCACATGCGTTCTAGACGCTGAGTGAACACACGTGTGTTTGCTGTTGGAGAAGTCTTGGCAGGTACATGCCTGTTTGCATTGCACAGGCCCGGACATTTGTGTGTGGGATGTTGGGAGATACCGACCACAGAGACGGTGGCCTCTTGGACTCTGGGCTAAAATGAGGGAGGCTGTTGACTTACTCCAATCGCAGGAAGGGGTGAAGATGTCACGCCCCTCCCTCTCCCAGAAACTATGGGGCCATATGGTGGGGGCAGGGAGGGGTCCCCCTCAGCATACCTGGGCCAGCTTCCCAGGGGAGCTTTGGAGAGGGGTGTGGGAGCTGCTCTTTCACTTGGGATTGGACATAAAGTCTCTGGTTTGTGAATCGGAACGTGGAGTTTGCAGAGGTGAAGCTCAGGTGAGAGCCTGGGCGTGGAGTGAACTCGGGTCTGAGCACACACCACCCTCTGTCACTTGCTTTGTTCTTCTCCTCTGGCAATGCCGGCGTCTGACTTCCTCAGTGCCTCCTCTCTCCTACTTGTCTGAAATGGTTCAGCATTCGCGGTAAAGCGTTCTGGTTTTGCCAGAATCTGCGGGCAGCTGAACCCATTTGTTGTAAGACCCACGCCCCAGTACTGGGGATGCCCTTCTCTTAGCTTGCTTCTGTGTGGTGGCCAGCGCCCCTCCCCCTGCTGCACTTTGGGTCCCAGAGCCTAATCCGAGAGCGTTCCCTCCTGCAGGCGTTGGTGACCGGCAGCCTCCCTGGCTTCGTGGATGTCGTCAGAAACCTCAACTCCCCCGCTCTGCTGGAAGACAATGTCGTCACACGGGCAACAGCCGCAGGGAAGAGGGTCATCTTCTATGGAGATGAAACATGGGTGAAGTTATTCCCAAAGCACTTTGTGGAATATGATGGAACGACCTCATTTTTTGTGTCAGATTATACAGAGGTCAGTGTTTAAAATAAGAAACATAGATCCTACTAGGCGGAGAGGCAGCGTTGTCTGTGTGGTGTTTGTTACTCTGTCGGGAGGGTGTGGAGATAGCACAGATGTGGTTCGCTTGCACCGTGTCAGCCAGGGGCGTGAGCCCGGTGTAGGTGTGAGCACCACTTGATAAGGGTCAAGAATCCAGCCAGGAGCCAGGGAGCTGGGTACGCAGGGGAGTGGGGACGTCCCAACAAGATGGAGTGGTGGCAGCCTCTGTCTGAGGCCGAGCCTGAGGCTGCCACCCTGCCTGGTGCTCCAAGGCCGCTGGTCCCTCTGCAAGTGGGTCAGTGTCGAGTGGGAGGCACAGGGTCAAGGGCAAGCTGGATGGGTGGTCCTGAGAGGCATCAGCCTGCTCCGGGAGTGCTGCTTCACCAAGGGGAGGAGTGATGAGAGCCCCCGTTGAAAAGTTGAGCCTAGGTGCAGAGGGAGACCCTAAGGGCAGTGGCACCACATGTCTGGACTTGGCTTTAGGGTGGTCAGCGTTGCACCCCCACACCTGTCCGTTGGCTGGCACAGATGCCGTCTGCTGCAGTGGCCCGTACAGCATAGCCGTGCTGGCCAGCAGCAACTGGGCCCTTCCCCGCCCTGTGTACAGTCACTCAGAAACACGTAGGCTTTTCAGTGGGAGGGAGTGGGCCAGCAGAGGGGTTGGGGCAGATCAGGCTAAACGGGTCTGTTGGGGGCGGCTGGTCACAGAATGCTGTCTCCTTCCTCCCAGGACAGCTCTCATGCTGGTCACTTGAACTCTGGGCACTGTCCTGTGCTCACTAACTGCCCTCCCTCTCCAGTTGGGTCCTGGGTCCTGGGTCCTTGCTCAGTATAGCCCCCGTGGTGCCCACAGAGATGTTCTCTGAGCAGACCCTGCTAGCTCCATCTCTACAACACACACTGTCTGCAGCCTAGAGGTTCGAAACAATGTCAGGGAAAGTTCCATCTCACCTGATGCTTGTTTAATTCTTTATTGCAGTTCCTTTTTTTTTTTTTTTTTCCTTGATCTTTTCCAACTCCCACTATTCCTGACACCTAAGCTAGACCTGTGATTTATAGTGACCACATCACTTTCTTGGGGAGTGAAGATCTAGGCCGTTACGGGAGCTCTTGACATGCACTTTTCCCTTAAAGGTGGATGATAACGTGACGAGGCACTTGGATAAAGTATTGAAAAGAGGGGATTGGGATGTGTTAATCCTCCATTACCTGGGGCTGGATCACATCGGCCACATTTCTGGGCCCAGCAGCCCCCTGATTGGGCGCAAGCTCAGCGAGATGGACAGCATCCTGATGAGAATCCACACCTCACTGCAGTCAGAGGTGAGCTGCACTTCAGCGGGTCTTGGTGCCAGGAGGTGCTTGTGACCACACTCGCCAGAAAAAATTGAGCTGGCGCGTGAGCTCAGGTGACCTGAGTGAATGTCATGCCCACCGTCCCTCGGCAGCCTCCGCCGGCACTGTGCCACTGTGATGCTCACTGCCTGGTCCCGCCTCCAGTGGCTCTGTCCCCGCCATCACCATCTCTCCCGGCCCTGCTTCCTGAGTGCCTTTGGGACGCTGAGCCTGCCTGGGTGTCTGCAGGGTGTGGGTTCCAGCCTTGAGGGAAGATAAGAAGCACAGTAACCGAGTGCATCAGGGCTCTTTTTTAAAGTATATTTTATTTATGTCAGAGAGGGAGAGAGAGAGAGAGAAAGAGACATCCGTGATGAGAGAGAATTCTGGGTCGGCTGCCTCCTGCACACACACACACACACACACACACACCGATGGGATTGAGCCTACATCCTGGGCATGTGCCCTAATCGGGAATCGAACCATGACCTCCTGGTTCATAGGGCAACACCTAACCACTGAGCCATGCCAGCCAGGCTGCATGAGTGTTCTTGAAGGTGATGTGCCACTGGGCAGTGGGGGCAGGCAGAGGGAACTGCATCTGAGGGGCTTGGTTTTCCTCAGCCTGGGCAGTCATGGGAGATGTGAGCAGAGGCTGGGCAGGAAGGGGCCGATCTGCCAGGCCAAGAGCAAGGGTGAGGTGGAGCTGCCAGACACATACTGGGCAGCAGAGGTCATGGCTGGAGCCCCAGGGGCAGGAAGGTGGCTGCACTGGGAGACACCGAGACATGCCGAGGGATGTGCCAGCACTCACAGCTCAGAAGTGGCAAAGAGGTCTCGGCCCAAATCCTCTGCCCTGAGAGGCCCTGTGTCCACGCCCACTGTGCTGTGTGACCTCCACGTGATTCTGTTTGTCTCATATGACATTATTTGACCTTGACCTTGATCTGACTGTAAGCTCATGTAGGTAAAAGGAAAAAAACACTAAGTTAGCAACTGCTCATTACAGCTGAAATCTGACGTTGGCTTCTCAGCAAATATGTGTTCCTGGTGTCAATGCCGTTGAAATGGCCCCTTTGCCTTGCAGGAGCGGGAGGCCCTCTCGCCCAGCCTGCTGGTTCTCTGTGGCGACCACGGCATGTCCGAGAGTGGGGGCCATGGGGCCGCCTCTCTGGAGGAAGTGAGCACAGCGCTGCTCCTCACCAGCTCTGCGTTCTCAAGGAAACCCGGTGAGGATGTAGACATGGCCGACGAGCTGACACTGCATTGCACTGCTGTTATAAAATTATTCTTGGAAGCGAAGTTTGAAATATCCTGAGCAATGGCAGAATGAAAATTAACAGGGCGAGGGGCAGTCAGGATTGGGAGTTTACGGTTCTTGCCTCGATAACTACAACACAAATGTCCCTTGTGGGAATTCAGTTGTACAGATGCCCCGAAGCTTAGCGACTGTTTCTCAATTCATGTATGTGAATTGAGAAACAGAAGTGCTTACATCTCCTTAAAAGTGCCCACTGTTAGGAACTCCAGGTTGAGTAGCCGTGTCCATAGGAGTCACCAGACCAGTCCGAGCAAGGTTAACTGAGGAATCATCTGCCATCACTGACACACAAGTTCTATACCCATACACACGCACCCCTCCGGCCCCCACCCTGCCTCAGGCCTGTCCGTCTCCAACACCTTCCCCGTGGGCCTGCCTGTGCCCACACTTCCACGCTGTTCTTGTGGACGCCATGGCTCCCTCTCCCAGGTCCTTGCCATCACGCAGCACTGCTGGAGAGTGCCCAGCAGGGCACCAGCCTCTACCCCGCCACCCTCGCTAGGGCCTCAGCACGGCCTCTGTACCCCACCATCCCTCACTCGGACCTCAGTAGGGTGACCACCAAGCAGAGTGAGAGCCCTGCACCAGAAACAGCTTCCCTGCATTTCTTGTCCTGCCCAGGTGCCTGAGCTCCTGTGGTGGAAATGGCACCGTGTGAAAATGTCTTACAAACACTTGTTCACGGATGTTTGCAGCAACGTTTCATAGCAGCCGACTGGAAACCCAAGCCCTGATGAGTTTGCTGAACATGGTGCGTCCACACGTCAGATACCACAGAGCAGAGCAGCAGGAAGAGGGAGGGTGGGCAGGCAGCAGGCTGACTCAGAGGAAGAGGACAGCTGGGCTGGTTGGGGGCCCTGTGGCTGGGAGGCCTGTGCCTGTGCTGTGCCTGTGTCTGTGCCTGTGCCTGTGCAGGCAGATGGTCTGAAGGGCTTGGTGGGGGGGGGGGGGGGGGGGGAGGTAATTTGCTTAAGAACCGTTCTGTTCTGCAGACTGCACTCCTTTTGTTCATTGAGTCTCTGTCAGTTTTAGAACTTTTCTGTGATTGGTCCCCACCACTCCCACCCCCCTCCAGCAAGTTGTCCTCATTAGATTTCAAATGCAAGGAGCCCTGGGGCGCATGGTTCTGTGCCCCGAAGAGAAGAGAGGGCCCCACAGTGCTGCAGAGTGATGCCTGCTGTGTGAACACCCTGTGCCCATCAGTGATGGGGGCTGGCACATTCGTGAACAAGTGTTTGTGAAGACATTTCCATATGGTGTCTTTTTTTAAACATATTTTTATTTCGGAGAGGAAGGTACAGGAGAGAGATGGAAACATCATTGATGAGAAAGCATCACTGATGGCTTGCCTCTGGCACGCCCCTCACTGGGATGGAATCCACAGCCGGGGTGTGGGCACTGACCGGCTGGGTCGTGTGGCATCCTTTTCTCCAGGACAGCTCTGGCCCTCCCTCGGTGCTATTGCTGTCGACGCACTCTGGAGGGCACAGCCAGTTCTGTGCGCAGCGGCGGGCTGTGCAGTCAGGGTGGGTCGCACCCCCCCAGTCTCGGCACGGCAGCTGGGCCCTCAGTGTAAGAGACCATGAGGAGAAAGGTAATGTTGGAGTGAAAAACTTCCAAGTGCAGCCCAGAAGGCAGCGGTAGAGAGTTGGTCAGAAAAGAATAAATTTGACCTGATTTTAAAATTTTTCATGCAGCCCAAAATTACCATAATCAAAGCTAAACCTCTACAAACTCGCCCTAGAGGGAGAGGCTGGTCCCAGGTTCCACTGGCCATCTCCGCCTGACCTGCATCAGGCGTCTGGATGAAGTGGGGGAGGTGTCTTCTCCACAGAGAAGAGGACGCCTGCACTGAGCTTCCTGTCCAGAGCCTCCCAGGGTCTGGGGCAGAGCCAGGCCCAAGCCCAGGTCCTGATTCACCCAGGCTCCTTGCAGGGTCCATCAGACGCCAGCCCCTGCTTAGCACAACGAGCTGCAGGTGCGCAGGCCGCTGGGCAGCCTCCTGCTGCTTTCCTAGAGGTGCTCTGTGGGGCTGTGAGCATCACTCTGCATCCAGAGGGCAGGGCCACCAGACCCCAGGTGACCCTCTGCTGGGCCACCTGCTCCCTATGCCAGCGTCTCCCAGGCGCCGTGGCTGCGTCAGGGAAGCTCCATGTAGATCCACGGGGAACGGTTTGGAGAGGGTGGTTGGTGCCCCTTGTAGAAGGTCATTGTGTCCATCACTCACCCTGCTTTCTCCGTAGGTGAAGTCAGGCCCCCAGAGCGTGTGCAGCAGACCGACCTGGCTGCCACCCTGGCGGTGGGGCTCGGCCTGCCCATCCCGCAGCACAGCGTGGGCCGCTTCCTGTTCCCTGTCATGCAGGGCAGAGCCATGCGGGAACAGCTGAGGTTCCTACACTTGAATGCAGTGCAACTCAGCAGGCTGCTGCAAGCAAGCAACCCGGTGTATGAGAGAGGTGCGTTGTGGCCGCCCTCCGGCAGGCTGGGGCTCCCGTGTGCCTGGGCCTCACTGCTGCTGGCTATACGACCGCTCTGCTGCCAGAGCTCGGCCATCGATCACCGTGAGGCCGTTGTCTCAGGCACCTGCTCCCATAAGTGTATTCAGTCTACAAGTGGTAACTCTTCCCACTCAGCTTCTGTTTGGACAGCAGGGCTGGGGCTGCCCTTACAGAGCGCAGCTTGAGAGGGAAAGCAGGAGGTGGCTATTGGTGCAGATGGCGAGGGCCTGGGAGGGAGCGTGTGGCAGACTCAGCGTAGGGAGGATGCCTCACTTTGGAGGAATGGAGGGGCCGAGTGGCTGGAGAGGAGGAGGGCATAGGACGGGAGGCTGGGTGTGGGGCCTCTGGGGCCCTGGCTGGGATGGGCGCTCTTGCTTTCGTCCGGAGTTGCAGAGCCTGAGCTCTGCAGCCGGCACTGGAGAGGCTCTGGGCCGGGGAGGCTGGGGCATGGGGAGAGTGGGCCCACGTGGTAGCAGTGGCGGTGGAGCAGGGACGGGGGAGGAGGGGGCGGGGGGGGGGGCAGTCTGGATGCTGATTGCATGCAGGCAGGGCTTGCTGGTACCCTGAACGTCGGCCCAAATGAGCCAGAGCTAAGGCCTGGTGCAGGCTTTTGTGAATAGTGAAGGAAGTGTGGGGTGGCTATACAGAGGTGGGAATGGCTGCAGGGGAGCTGGTTCATCAGGTGGTGCTCGTGGGTGAGGGGTAGGTGTCAAGGAAGCCAAGTGGCCATTGAAAGAATTTCCAGAAACAGGAACTAATACTCTGTAGAGGCCTGCTGGCAGAGACCTGCTAGCAGGGGCAGTGCCCTTGGCTTGGGTGCAGGCAGTGCCAGAGAGTGGCGAGGGCTCATCTTGGCTGTGACCGAGAGGTGGGCAGCACACCACTGGGTGGGGTGGAGGCCTCAAGGAGGGGCCCAGACTCCTGGGGTGGCTCCCTGAGCACTAGGGAGCCCCGGAAGGAAGTCCTTGCATCTGGCCCGGCTCTGAGAGGAAGACCGGCCGGCCGGGCTTTGCACAACAGCCCCGCTTTGCACAATGGAGGCAGAGGCCATCCTGCCCAGAGGACTCGTGATTCAGAGCCGGTAGAAGACGCAAGCTATTGCTGAGAGGCAGGCAGGTTAGCCATTGCGGGGGGTGGGGGGGACACACACAGACGTGGATGTGGTGAAGAAGTGTCAGGCACCTGTCCGCCCAGTCCTCATGCAGCATGAGCATGGGAACGTTTCTGTGAAGTTGAGGATCTGTTAGCATGATGCATTTCTGGGTGGTTTTCCACTGCAGGAGTAGGGGAGAGAGGAGCAAGGGAGGAGAGAGGCAAGGCCAGTGCGGAGGCAGAAGGGTTGGGGAGGCTGGCTGGAAGGAGGTCATTGGGTGCTGGCCCATGACCAGCCTATGCACGAAGGTTCCTGGGCGCCAGCTGTCAGGCTCTCCCACCGGCCGCGGAAGCACTTGGGAACCAGCGCCACAGCTGCTGCGTCCGCAACCTGTTCCTCTTCTTGCCAGAGCCTGGATTTGAACAGTTCAAAATGTCGGAGAGGCTACATGGAAACTGGGTCAGACTGTACTTAGAGAACAATAACTCAGAAGTCCTTCTCAACCTGGGAGCCAAGGTCCGCAGGCAGTACCTGGGCGCCCTGAAGAGCCTGAGCCGGGCCGTGAGCAGCCAGGTGGCCCAGTACGACATCTACTCGATGGTGCTGGGCACCGTCGTGGTTCTGGAGGTAGGAGTCTCACGGGGCGGAGCGAGGCTCCCCGTGGAGCTGGCTCGATACCCCAGCCCGAGCATTGCACTGGAGTGTCTGCAGAACATCTGTGTTTCCTAAACGGGACTAGTTTTCCTGCTGGTTCACGTGTACCCTGTGCGCAGTCCTATCCGGGTGGGTGGCTGGAGGCGTGGTTTGGGCCATCCCCTGTGGCCCATTGTGGACCAGCCGTGCTTTCTGCCCAGGTCCTCGCCCTGCTCCTGCTCAGCATCCCACAGGCCCTGGGCGCTGCAGCCGAGCTGGAGGTCCCTCTGTCGCCCGTGTGTTCTCTGCTCTTCTACTTGGCGTTCCTGCTTCTCTGGGCCATGCACGTGGTTGTGTGCACCTCAGCCGAGCGCTCCCGCTACCTGTGCAGCCTCACGTGGCCCATGGCGGGCGGCGTGCTGGCGCTGGTCTCTGCGCTGCTTTGTGGGGTCCTGTCCGCTCTGACCAGGACGTGTGTGGATGGGAAGCTCCTGAGGAGGGTAAGGCTGGCTCTCAGGTGAGACGTGTCTCTCTGTGTAGGCCGCACTTTGTAGTTTAGTGCCTCTCCCGCCGTGGGTGGCAGGCACAGTGTGGCCGAGCTGGGGAGGGCAGCCTGTCCTCAGGCTCTGGGCCCACCTCACACTTTCAGCTCCGTGCTGACAGGTCCCAGGCCTCGCCTGTCAGGTGGGAAGATAGGGTCCCGGTGACAGAGGGTAGGAGAGGGAGAGAGATGGAAACATCAGTGATGAGAGAGAATCATTGACCAGCTGCCTCCTGCACACACCACACTGGAGATTGAACCCATAACATGGGCATGTGCCCTGACTGGGAATCGAACCCTGACCTCCGGGTTCATAAGTCGACCTCAACCCCTGAGCCACACTGGCCGAGCCGTCCTTAGTTTTAAATGCTTCAAGTTGGTACGTGGGAGGGATGGTGTGTGTTGCCAACTTGGTCGTTTCAGTAGAATGAATGAACGAACGTTTCAGTGGAAACTTCCTGGATTTCTGGAAAATTCATGGTTAGATTCTCGGGAAATATCATTGAGGTTCTTTGGTTTTAGTAGCGGGAACTGGCTGTGGCTGCCTGACGACCCACGCTCGAGAGGACGAAGATGTGTATGAAGGGCGAGGTCCAGGGGGCGGGCCCAGGTCTCAGCCCCCCACTGCCCAGGTGGTGCCAGCCTGAACACCCATGTCTCGTCCTCACCCATGTCTCGTCACTGGGCTGAGGTCAGGCTGTGAGGAGGGGATGGCCATCCCTGCAGAGCAGGGGTGCACCCGCTGAGTGTCTTCGTGGGCTCTGTTCTGGGTTTTCAGATTTCCCTTACACAGTGTACCTTTCTCACAGAACCCAACTCCTTCCTCCTGGAGGTGGTCAGAGCTGGACTTCCTCACCCTGGCAGGGACTGCGGGCCACGTCCTGAGCCTGGGGGCGAGCAGCTTCATCGAGGAGGAGCACCAGACCTGGTACTTCCTCGTCAGCACCCTGTGCCTGGCTCTGTGTCACGAGAGCTACAGAGCCTGCTTTCTGGGGGAGGACGGGGAGCCTCGGCATTGCTCCAGCCCGGCATCAGCTTTGCAGGACAGGAGCGTCAGCTGTGACGTGTTAGAGCTCGACCAAGCATGCCAGAGCCCCTCTTCCCTGGACGGACTCGGTGGCCGTGAGAAATACATGGCGCTGGCCAGCCCGTGGCTGGTCCTCGGCTGCTGCCGGCTGCTGCGGTCTCTGAACCAGACGGGGGTGCAGTGGGCCCACCGCCCTGACCTGGGACACTGGCTCACCAGGTGAGAGCACACACCATGGCCGCAGCTAGCTGGCCAGCAGTCGCCTTTCTCCACATGGGGCCCGTTTTCCGTGTTCAGGATGGAAGTGGTATTTGAGATTTGAAGAATTAGGAAAATACATCCTAGCCCATGAGTTGATGTTGGAAAGCAAACTTGCATGAGGCTAGCCTAATGGGTTGGTTTTATTGCCGAATCACCAACCGCGTTTGAGAACCTGTGAGTGAGGAGCTGGTCCTGCCCTGGCCAGCTGCTCCCAGCAGGACGACAGGACAGGCTGTGAGGATTGTGGTCAGAAGCCCTCGACAGCCAGTGGCCAGGTGGGTGCTGCTTCAACACCTGAGAGATGTGCAGCAGGTGAAAACCAGACAGGAGAGGGGTGCTCATGACAGTTAGAGGGGGTGCTGTGGGGCTCAGGACAGTCAGGCACTGAGGGGCTCGGGACAGTCAGTGGAAAGTCGGACAGGCACTGTGAGGGGCTCAGGACAGTCGGACAGGCACTATGAAGGGCTCAGGATAGTCAGACAGGCGCTGAGGGGCTCAGGACAGACAGGCGCTGAGGGGCTCAGGACAGTCGGATAGGTGCTGTGAGGGGCTCAGGACAGTAGGACAGGCACTGTGAGGGGCTCAGGACAGTCGGATAGGCGCTGAGGAGCTCAGGACAGACAGGCGCTGAGGGGCTCAGGACAGTTGGACAGGCGCTGTGAGGGGCTCAGGACAGTAGGACAGGCACTGTGAGGGGCTCAGGACAGTCGGATAGGCGCTGAGGGGCTCAGGACAGTCGGACAGGCGCTGAGGGGCTCAGGACAGTCGGACAGGCGCTGTGAGGGGCTCAGGACAGTAGGACAGGCACTGTGAAGGGCTCAGGACAGTTGGACAGGCACTATGAAGGGCTTATGACTGTCAGACAGGCGCTGAGGGGCTCATGACCGTCAGACAGGCACTGAGGGGCTCAGGACAGTAGGACAGGGACTGTGAGGGGCTCAGGACAGTCAGACAGGCGCTGAGGGGCTCAGGACAGACAGGTGCTGAGGGGCTCAGGACAGTCGAACAGGCTCTGTGAGGGGCTCAGGACAGTAGGACAGGCACTGTGAAGGGCTCAGGACAGTTGGACAGGCACTATGAAGGGCTTATGACTGTCAGACAGGCGCTGAGGGGCTCATGACCGTCAGACAGGCACTGAGGGGCTCAGGACAGTCAGACAGGGACTGTGAGGGGCTCAGGACAGTCAGACAGGCGCTGAGGGGCTCAGGACAGTCGGACAGGCGCTGTGAGGGGCTCAGGACAATAGGACAGGCGCTGTGAGGGGCTCAGGACAGTCGGACAGGCGCTGTGAGGGGCTCAGGACAGTAGGACAGGCGCTGTGAAGGGCTCAGGACAGTAGGACAGGCGCTGTGAAGGGCTCAGGACAGTTGGACAGGCACTATGAAGGGCTTATGACTGTCAGACAGGCGCTGAGGGGCTCATGACCGTCAGACAGGCACTGAGGGGCTCAGGACAGTAGGACAGGGACTGTGAGGGGCTCAGGACAGTCAGACAGGCGCTGAGGGGCTCAGGACAGTCGGACAGGGACTGTGAGGGGCTCAGGACAGTCGGACAGGCACTGAGGGGCTCAGGACAGTCGGACAGGGACTGTGAGGGGCTCAGGACAGTCAGACAGGCGCTGAGGGGCTCAGGACAGTCGGACAGGCGCTGTGAGGGGCTCAGGACAATAGGACAGGCGCTGTGAGGGGCTCAGGACAGTCGGACAGGCGCTGTGAAGGGCTCAGGACAGTAGGACAGGCGCTGTGAAGGGCTCAGGACAGTTGGACAGGCGCTGAGGGGCTCAGGACAGTCGGACAGGCGCTGAGGGGCTCAGGACGGTCACAGACACAGTGCAGAGGAAACTTCAGCAGGAGAACAGGGAAATGTGGCCAGCCTAAAGCAGGACCCTGGCCACATCACCTCTGCCTGTTCCCATGGGGAGTTCCCTTCGTGAGTAAACAGTGCTCCCTGCAGCAGCAGTGGACATGGCCAGGCACCAGGGCACCTGCCCACCCTGTGGCCGCTGCCTGTGAGCCTCCTGCTTCTCTGGGGTCTCGGGCCCTGAGTGGGGGTCACACCAAAGAGATGGCATGACTCCCGGAGCGGGATGCACCCTGGGAAGCACAGGGTCTGCCCAGCAGCTCCTCACTGCAGGGAACATGTGGCCCAGAGGGACATGACCGAGGGGGTGGACTGCTGTGGACAAGAAGCAGGAGGTCGGGGCAGCAGCCCTTCAGTGTACATCATGAGCGCCTCAGTCTGCTTTTCAGTCACCAACCATAGTCTTCCATGCTTTTCAGGAAAGTCAGCCATTTTTAGCTGTCTTAGGAAGCCACTCAGCAGAGACCCAAGCCTCGCGAGCTGCACTTGTGGGTAATTCCTGGTCTTTCCTGCTCTTTCAGCTCTGAACACCAAGCCGAACTCTCCATCCTCTCCGCCCTCTCCCTCCTTGCCATCTTCGCGCTGGTTCAGAGCCGGTGCTCCCCGCTGTCCAAGGGGGCCCTGGCGCTTGGCCTGTTGGGAGTCTACTGCTACAGAACAGCCACTGGCCACCTGCTGTTCCCATGGCAACAAGACAGCAAGGACCTTTCCAGGTAGTGTGCTGCGGCCTGGGGCTTATTTAAGGTCTCTGGTTGTGAAGGGACACCTGCCTGCTGCCTTTAGGATGCTGGAGTTTGTTGTTGGTGAAGTGGTTTCACCGACAGATCCTGGGGCCTGATTGAGCACGCTCAGTGAACTGACCACTGCCCTTGTCCTGGTGGGAGACACGGTAGCTCGGCTATGAGGTGTTTGAGGATCATCTTTTTTAAAAACCAGGAGTCTCAAGGACTCAGTGTTGTTTGGTCGCTGAGATAGATGAGAAAATGGGTGTTGCCCTGCGGCTGGGAAATGTAGCAGAAACCTAACTCACCAGGTCTTTGGGGTCCCTAAGGAGCTTAGTGCCGCTGAGCCTGTAGACACGCCGTAGGTCAGGCAGCTGCTGTCTCCTTGAGGCTGGTGGGCATTGGCCAGGACGGCTGGAAACGTGCGGACCCTCCGGCCCAGGCGTCCTCTTGAGCAGCGAGGAGGCCCGAGGCGAGGGGCACTCTGCTCACCAAGGCGCTGGCGCTGGTGCTGCTCCGGGGGAGGCAGCAGGGCCAGGCACGGGGGCGCCTGAGCCTCTGAGGGAGTGAGGAGGCTTGTTCTGGGCTCTCAGCCCCGGCATCTGCTGCCTGCTGCTGTCCCTTTGTGGCCTGAGCTTGTGAAGCAAGGTCATCGCTGCTCATATTCATGTGACACTCACCGATGGCACTGGCCTCCATTTCACTAGTGCTGAATTGCTTTTCTTCTTAAAAACTACATTTTATTTTATTTTATTTTTTTATATTTATTTATTTATTTATTTTTAATCAATCTTTATTGTTCATATTGTTACAAGGTTCCTCATTTCTTCCCCCCTCCACCAGGTTACCTCCCCACCCTACACCCCCTCCCCTCCCCCATTGTCCTCATCCATAGGTGCACAGTTTATGTTCAGTCTCTTCCTCCCTCCCTTTCCCCGATAGTAAATCCCTTTTCAGATAGTAAATCAGTTACTTAGCATTTTCTCATATCAATAATACCTCCACATGCCCAATGATACACTTCACACAAAAGACATTTCCAAATAGGTCAACCAACCTCATCCAGGCCCCGCACAAGGCACTCACAGATCAACACCCCAGCGCTATACTAACTCAACACATCCAGATCTAAGACTTTATCACTTGATTCAGCAGACCCTCAAGTTCCCGCAAAAGTTTCCAGCCATGTCTGAGAGGCAGCCTTGGGGCGGGGGCAGGCGAGGAGCAAGCTGTTCCGGGCCTGGCTTCTGTTGCTCTGGTCTGTTCCACAACCAGCTGCTCCGGGTCTGGTCACTGCCGCTCCCGACCTGGTTGCTCCAGGCTTGGCTGCTGCTGCTCCAGGCCTGGCCACACCCAACCTGGCTGCTTTGGGCCCGGCTGCTCTGGGGCCGGCCACTCCGGACCTGGCCGCTCCCAGCCTGGCAGCCCCTGCTCCAGGCCTGGCCGCACCCGACCCAGCTGCTCTGGGCCCGCTGCTCCGGGCCCAGCCACTCCGGACCTGGCCGCTCCCAGCCTGGCAGCCCCTGCTCCAGGCCTGGTTGCACCCGACCCGGCTGCCCCAGGCCCGGCCGCTCCGAGTCTGGCCGCTCCCGGCCTGGATGCTCCGGGCTTGGCTACTGCTGTTCTGGGCCTGGCTGCTCCCGACCCGGCTGCTCTGGGCCCGGCCACTCCGGGTCTGGGTGTTCCTGGACTGGCCACCCTGGGCTTGGCCGCCTCCGCCTCAGGCCTGGCTGCCACTGCCCCAGGTCTGACTGCTCCAGGCCTGGCTGTTGCTGCTCTGGTTCTGGCTGCTGCTGCTCTGGGGCCTGGCTGTTGCTGCTCCAGGCCCGGCTGCCACTGCCTTGTGCCTGGCCACTCTAGGCCTGGCCGCCGCCATTCCATCATTCTGTCCTTTTTTATTTATTTTTTTTATTTTAAAAACGCATTTATGTTGCAATGTTGGCTGCTGAGTTGAGTTCTGACTTAGTCTTTGATTTTTCAAGATCTTCTTTGTGTTCTTTCTTAAGTAATTTTACTATCTTTTGCTCTCCCTTGATTTCTTCACATTGAGAACTTCTTCGGTTTCTTCCTCCTTGTCCTGTGGCACCACTTTGTTCTCCGCGGGCTCCTGCGCTGCTTCAGCCTCTTGCCGGGGTCGGCACCGCTGCCCAGGAAGCAGCCCCCGGCCTCGGCTCCATTACCCGCGCTCAGTGGTCGAAGGCTCAGGGGCACCCCCCTCCTGGGGGCCACGTCACCCGGTTCCTTGCTGGCGCCTGGCTGGCCGATGTCCGGCAGGGGCTCCTGCTCCTCGTCACGTTCCTCCAGTCTGGAGCTTTTTTTCTCCTTCCTGCTAGGGGACTCTAGCATCAGAGTCAACAGACTGTCCTCTGCGCGCAGTGTGCCCGACTTCGGGGGCTCCACTTTTCGCCACTCCCCCAGGACTCCACCTCACAGCCCCGTCTCCCTCTGCTTGAGCCTGGGTCCCCAGGGATTGGCCTAGAGCTGGAGTTTAGGGCAGTCGGGAGTGGGGCTCAGCACCGCCGGAGATTTTGTTTCTTCCCGCCAGGGCAATACAGCATCAGAGTCAACATTCTGTCCCCTGCGCGCATTGTGTGCGTCTGTGCACAGTGTGCGCGACTCTGGGGGCTCCGCTTTTCGCCTCTCCCCTGGGATTCCACCTCACAGCCCAGTCTCCCCCTGCCCGAGCCTGGGTCCCCAGGGTTTGGCCCATAACTGGGGCTCAGCGCTGCCAGTTCAGGGGTTCAGCCCAGGCCGGGGGTTCTATTTCCTTCCTGCTAGGGAACGCCAAGCAAGCACCCAGCCTTCTCCTCCTCTCCAGCTGCGTCCTCTCCACACGCGCGTGCAGGTGCGCAGCATGTCTCCGTACCTTAGGCTTTTTTTCAGCTCCTCTGATTTTCCTTCTGGTTTTCTCTTTCCTTCTTGTCGTAGAATTTTCATTCAGTCGATTACCTGTAGCTCTGGGCAATGTCCACTCTACATTTTAGTTGTATTCCATTGAAATTGTTGTGTGCTGCTGTGGTTAGGTGTCTACCTGAGCAGCCATCTTGGATCCTCTCCCCTGGGTTATCCCTGAAAGGTATTTTTTAACAAGAGAAAGAAGAAAAAGGTAAAGATAAAAATTATGAACAACAGCCGAAACCGGTTTGATTCAGTGGTAGAGTGTTGGTATGCAGACCGAAAGGTCCCAGGTTCAATTCCGGTCAAGGGCATTACATTGGTAGCGGGCACATCCCCGGAGGGGATTGTGTGACATTTTTTTAAACCTTTATTGTTAAGAGTATTACAGGTACAGCTGAAACCGGTTTGGCTCAGTGGTAGAGCGTCGGTCTGCGGACTGAAAGGTCCCAGGTTCGATTCCGGTCAAGGGCATGTACATTGGTTGCGGGCACATTCCTGGTGGGGGGTGTACAAGAGGCAGCTGGTCGATGTTTCTCTCTCATCAACGTTTCTAGCTCTCTCTCTCTCTCCCTTCCTCTTTGTAAAAAATCAATAAAATATATTAAAAAAAAAAAAAAGTATTACAGGTATCTCCCTCACCCCCCCCCTCCATAACCCCTTCCACTTGGTCCCGTCCCACCTAAGACTTTCACCACCTTCTTGTCTGTGTCCATAGGTGATGTGTATCTATTAAGTCGCAAAGTGTCCCTTTGGGAGTTCTACTGGGAGGCCATAAGTTTGATTGCTCACTATGACGCGTGCTAAGCACCAGGGGGTGGCAGAATGAAGAAAAACCCCAGCTGGCAGCCAGGGAAGGGAGGCCCTGGCCCGGCAGCCAAAAAGGCCCTGATGGCCAGCCAGGACTGGGGACCCTATCCATGCGTGAATTTTGTGCACCAGACCTCTATGAAAGCCTAAGCGACTGTTGCTGTGACACACACTGACCACCGAAGGGCAGATGTTCAATGCAGGAGCTGCGCCCTGGTGGTGAGTGAACTTCTGCCAGGAGGAAAGGATGTGAAAGCAGCCACCAGGTGGTTCCTGAGACTTGAACATCAGCGGAACGGATCCCTGGTTCCCCTCACCACCCCCTCAGGATTTCCCCCCGCATCCCGGTCCCCCTCGCCCCCCTCAGGACTTAGTGCATCAAGCCTCTAATATGAATATCTTTGGTTAATCTCTTCCTGCCTCTCCTCCCGAGATTCGTCAGTCTGTTTTCATTCGTCCATGTTTCCATGCCGCACATTCTATTTTATTCATCAGTTTATTTTGTTCATTATATTGTTCTTTTATTTTTATTTTTAGATTTAATTGTTGATAAATATTTATTTTTTTGCTATTTTATTATTATATTTTCTATTTTATTGATTTTTTTACAGAGAGGAAGAGAGAGGGATAGAGAGAAACATCAATGAGAGAGAATCATTGGTCAGCTGCCTCCTGCACACCCCGTACTGGGGATGTGCCCACAACCAAGGTACATGCCTCTGATGGGAATCGAACCTGGAACTCTTCAGTCTGCAGGCCGATGCTCTATCCACTGAGCCGAACAGGTTTCGGCTCTTTCTTTTTTTTTTTTTTAATCTTTATTGCTCAGATTATTACAATTGTTTCTCCTTCTCTCCCCCCCCCCCCCACATAGCTCCCTTCCACCCGGTTCCCGCCCCACCCTCTGCCCTTACCTCTCCACCCCCTCCCCTGCCATTGTCCTCATCCATAGGTTATAGGATTTTAATCCAGTCTCTTTCTGCACCCACACACCCCTTTCCCTCTGATAATTATCAATCCACTCCCTTTCTTTGCCCCTGATTCTATTATATTCACCAGTTTATTCTGTTCCTCAGATTTTTAATTCACTTGATCTTCTTCCTCTTCTTAAATAATACCTTTCAGTATTTCATATAATTCTGGGTTGGTGGTGATAAACTCCTTTAACTTTTTCTTATCTGTGAAGCTCTTTATCTGCCCTTCAATTCTGAATGATAACTTTGCTGGATGCAGTAATCTTGGTTGTAGGTTCTTGCATTTCTTGCCACTCCCTTCTGGCCTGCATAGTTTCTGTTGAGAAATCGGCTGATAGTCGTATGGGTGCTCCCTTATAAGTAACCAACTGCTTTTCTCTTGCTGCTTGTAAGATCCTCTTTTTGTCTTTTGCCTTGGCATTTTAATTATGTGTCCTCTTTGGATTTCTCTTAGTTCTGTGGGCTTTCTGTTCTTATAAGTCTATTTCTTTCACCAGGTGGGGGAAGTTTTCTGATATTATTTCTTCAAGTATGTTTTCAGTATTTTGCACTCTCTCTTCTTCTGGCACTCCCATAATTCTGATGTTGGTAACCTTGAAGTTGTCCCAGAGGCTCCTTACACTATCTTCAACTTTCTGGATTCTCTTTTCTTCTTGCTTCTCCAGAGGAGTGTCTTTTGGCTCTGATTCTTGTGTTCCTCCATTCTGCTGTTGGATCTCTGCATAGTATTTTCCATTTCAGTCAGTTTATGTATAATTTTTAGTTGGGTCTCATGAAACTTATCAGCCTTTTCTAGGATATTCTTGCATAACCTTTAAACTGTGGTTTTGAACTCTGTATCCTTCATCTCTTTTGTTTAAAATTTCCTTGTCTCGGCATTTTTGCTGCTTCCCAGAGTTGGTAGGATGGTTTTGTGTGTTTGGTGTCCTATATGGCCCAGTGTGTCAGCCTCCTCAGTTACCTGAGGTAGACACTCTTGGTGCTCCCCTTTGTGGACTGCGTGTACAGCCTTGTTGTAGCTGTCTTTATTGTTGTTGGTATCCCTGGGAGAAATTGACCTTCAGGCCATTTGGATGTGGGTATCAGCTGTGTTTACTCTGAGATACCTTCTGTATTGGAGACAGTCTTATAGGATCAGACTTGCAAAATTGCAGAAGCCTCTGTGCTCAGCTTGGATAGGGCGGATTCTCAGGGCTGAGCTGAGTCTTGGCTTCTCATCAGCCCTGCCCTTGTGCACTTGCCTGAGTTTCCTCCTGACTGTTTCAGATTCCCCAGGCAAGAGTGTGGGAGCCTCAGGGGCTGGGTCTCTGTAGTCTGGAGCTTCTGCCTCCTTCCACTATGGAGAGGCCGAGGCAAACTCCGTGGTCAGACCTCTGCGCATATTCACTCATGCTCGCTACTGTAGACCCTGCCCACTGCGGCTCCTGGCTCCCCACCTCCCACCCCGCCTCCCAGTCTCTGAGTCTCTGGGTGCCTTTCTCTACAGTCCAGGCTCCACCTGTATGAGCCTCGGTCCATGAGGTTTCGGCCGGGATTGGGATTCAGTACAGTCGGAAAGGGTTCAGTGCAATCGGGAGTTCCTCCCCTCCCGCCAGCCAGGCATTCAGCCGCATTTCCTCTCTGCGTGCGCGAGCGTCTCCCTACCTCAGCGCTTTGCGGCTCCCAGTCTGATCCGTGAGCTTCTCTCCTTCTTTCTCGTTGTAGATTTCCCACTCCGCCAGCTCTCCTGTGGTTTTGGCTGAAGTCTGTTCTGACTTTAGTTGTTTTTTAAATTGTTGTTTGAGGCGGCAGCTTAGGTGCTTACCTAGGCTGCCATCTTGGTTCCTCTTCTCTGTCTGTCTTTTCTTCTTTTTTACTTTCTTTCTCCTCCTGCTCCTCCACCAGTTTGATGGTGATGAATTCCTTTAGCTTTTTCCTGTCTGTGAAGCTTTTTATCTGACCTTCATTTCTAAATGATTACTTTGCTGGGTAGAATAATCTTGGTTGTAGTCCTGGCTTTTCATCACTTTGCCATTCCTTCTGGTCTGCATAGTTTCTGTTGATAAATCAGCTGACAGCCGTATGGGTGCTCCCTTGTCGGTAACTAACTGCTTTTCTTTTGTTGCTTTTAAGATTCTCTCTTTGTCTTTAGCCCTTGGCATTTTAATTGTGATGTGTCTTGGTGTGGTCTTCTTTGGGTTCCTCTTGTTTGGGACTCTCTGCACTTTTTGGACTTGTAAGTCTGTTTCTTTCACCAGGTAGGGAAGTTTTCCATTACTATTTCCTCAAATAGATTTTCAATGTCTTGCTCTCCTTCTGGCACCCCCATAACACAAGTGCTGGTAAATTTTAAGTTATCCCAGAGGCTTCTTAGGCTATCTTCATATTTTTGGGTGCTTTTTGCTTTTCTGATTGGGTGTTTTTTGCTTCCTGGTATTCCAAATTGCTGATTTGATGGTCAGGCTCCTCTACTCTCTTATTGAGTCCCTATAAATCATTCTGTATTTCAGTTAGTGTGTGCTTAATTTCTGACTGGTCCTTTTGCATGTCTTTCACATTTTCACTAAGTCCCTTGAAGCTCTCATTGATCATCCTTGTAACCATTAATTTGAATTCTATATCTAGTTGCTGTAGTTTAACCTTGATTGCTATTGGCATCACTGGGAGGAGTTGTCCTTCAGGCCATTTTGCTGTGAGGACCAGCTGTGACTACCATGGGAGAACTGCTATGCAGAAGACACCACTATGGGGAGGACTTGCTTCAGTGGGGCTTTGGTGCTCACTGAGTCTGCCCCAGACTGTGTCTCTTGTGGATGTGTACGGTTGTAACCTGTGGTCTGAAGCTGTCCGCCAGGTGTACCGGATGGTACAAAGTCAGCCACTGCCTGGAGCCGCCCTGCAGGAGCTACAGAGCTATCTGTGTATGACTGTTACTTGTATTGGGCTTGGAAATGCCAGCTGAGGGCAAGCTGTGAAGCAAGGTAGGCTGGTGCTAAGGCCAGGTCTTGAGCCTCTTATTGATAGTTATGGGGTATGCTGACACCAGCTGCTGCTTGTCTGAGAGATTTTTAAAAAGTCTCGTAAGAAAGAAGGCGATCCCCTAAAACTGGGGTCCTGGCTGAACACCAAGGACATTCGGGAGCCAGACAGCAAGGCCGTACCTTTCCTCCTGCAGGAGGGGCGTGTGCTTGGGGGCTGGGAGCAGGCGTCCACTCGGGCTTTTATTGCTGACACACCTCATCTGTCCCTCACTCTCAGTGGGAGAACTTAGGCTCCCAGTCTTGCACGGTTGGCTAATTTAAAGGGAAAAGGAAGGGTGACCTTTGCCATTTCAAAATGGCGGCCCCAGGGGAGCTGCAGGTCACGCAGGAGAGTGGCAGCTGCCTGTATTCGCTTCTGTGGCCGTGAAGATCATTTGTTGGTTCTCGGTCTGAAACCTGAGCCTGGACAGACTTATTCATACGAAAGAGCTGCTGCAACAGTGTAGGTGGGGCTGCAGAGGGTAGGGCCAGGTATGGAGTTTAGTTAACTATGTTGTAGGAGTGTGTGTTCTACACGATGAAGTTCTCTGGCATGTTGTCACAGATTGCGTCCTCTGCAGACAGCTGTAGGTGACGTGCAGAAATACTCAGTTCACAGCAGGCACCTGGCAGACACTGGACATGAGTCCCTCCCTCAGTTTCCAGGACAGCTCTGTGGGGTGCAGGTGCCGTCTCTTCATTTGCAAGTATCACGGTTGAGCATCAGAAGTCCTGATTAACTTGCCCACACAACAGATGGTATGGACGAAATCATTGTATGTGCAGACATGTGCAGGTGTTTGTCTGCTTGTGAGCTCGTGGCTGTTCCTGGCAGAGCTGTACCAGGTCCTCCTTGGACAAGAGGAGGAAGGTTCCTGTATGCCACCTGCATCAGAGGAGGGCACACACGAGGGGTCCTGGGTGCTTCCATGGGGCACGGGGCACCCGGCAGATGGGGCTGGGGCCTGTTAGCTGAGTGGTCGCTCGGTCTCTGTGAGGAAATATGTGCTAACTTGCTTTGCTTTTCCTTAGGGGCATCATTGAAGCACGTTTTGTGTACGTGTTTGTCCTTGGCATTCTGTTCACGGGCATCAAACAGGTGCTTAAGTCTCAAGTCCTCACGGCAGATGTCCAGGCCAAGACTGTCGGTCTGTGGGACGTGCACAGTGCACTGGTGCTCCTGGCAGCCCTGCTCTTCAGGCCACATAACCTTCCTGTCCTGCTGTGCAGCCTCCTGACCCAGACTCTGATGGCCAGGTTCCTCTGGAGGCCCCTGGGGCACGGGGCGGCTGAGGTCACTATCATGCACTATTGGTTTGGCCAGGCGTTCTTCTATTTCCAGGTAGGTTTTCTTTATCTCTGTGGGCACACCAGTAACTTTGTGTCATGTACCTTAGTTGTCCTTTGCAAGTGTCAGTGTTAGTCGGTGAAAGAGCAGTTGGGGGGGGGGGGGTTGTGCTGCTCCTGCCGTATGCGTGTCTGTAGGCATGACGCAGCAGTGGGGGGGGTGCTGCTCCTGCCGTATGCGTGTCTGTAGGCATGATGCAGCAGTTGCGCGGGCACGGCTGCCGCCGGACCGTCTGCACAGCTGCATCTGCTGAGGTGTGGCTGTACTCTCGTTGCCATCCTGCTCGCCTGTACCCTCAGTCACTGATCCCCAGGGCCCAGCAGCCACCCTCAGCCTCCAGCAATGGCCCCTTGGCCGTGTGACCCCAGCGGCCACACACAGCCCTTAGACAGGGTCCTGGGGGAGGGTGTACCGTGTGTCTGTGAGGTGGAGAGATCTGAGGAAAGGCAGAGCTTGCTGCAGCTCACCAGAGACTTCCGTCCGTAGAGTCTCCCCACGCTCAGACCTGGCACTTGCTCCTCACCGCCTTTGGAAGTGTGTCCTGTGTCTCTGTGACACATGGGGTCAGCGGGACAGATGGAGAGGCGGGCGGCCGTGGCTCCTGGCTTCTCCTAGTCACATGGCCGTGTTGTGAGCGTGGCCATATCGTTCCAGGGAAACTCCAATAACATCGCCACGGTGGACATCTCGGCGGGCTTCGTGGGCCTGAACACCTACATGGAGGTCCCGGCCATGTTCCTGACGGCATTTGCGACGTATGCGGGGCCCGTGCTGTGGGCCAGCCACTTGGTGAACTTCCTGAGTTGGGAACCAAGCAGGTGCAGCTCCTCCTCTGTCCCTCAGCAGTCTGGCCATGCCCCTCAAGTGCGCAGCTCCCTTTGCCAGGGTGACAGGAAGGGTGAGCCTGGAATATGACTGTGGAAGCCCCTATTCCCATGGCTGAGAAGGACCCACCCCCCAGGCGAGGGCCAGGGATGGGCCAAGGCCCACCTATCAACCAAGCTTCTCCCAGTTCTTCCTTGTTGGTGCCATGGCTCCTGGAGGTGACGAGCTCCCTGGGGTTCCCCTTCCTGATGGTTGGATCCCCAGTGGGACCCGGGGTGTGTGTACAAGGACTTGCTGCAGGAGCTCAGGTCTGGAGCGGCCATGAGAGTGAACTAATTACCCCAAAGCCAGAGCACCGGAGTCAGGTGGCCTCACAGAGCAAGGCCAGGGTCAGGGTCAGGATCAGGGTGGGGATGGAGTTGGGGCATCAGGGATCACAGCTGCCAGGGGAGCACGTGGGGGCCTCGGTGTCTGAGCGTAGAGTGAGGCAGCATGCGCTGACACTCAGGCTCTTGCATTTAGGGCTGTGACCCGTTTTGAGTTGCTTCTTCTATGAGGTGTAAGTTGGTGGCCTAGCTTCACTTTTTGCACATCTGTTCAGGTTCCAGCGCCCTTTATCGAGAGACTGACTACCCGCTGTGCTCTCTTGTCACCACCTCTGTCCTAGACCATGTGGCTGGCCTCCCTTTCCAGGCTCTGTTTAGCCCTTGTCATGGTGTGTGATCTTGCTGGGCTCAATTTGGTAGCATTTTGTTGAGGATTTTTGCATCTGTGTTAATCAGGGATGCGGACCTATAGCTTTCTTTTTCAAAGTCTCTGTCTGGTTTTGTAACGAGGATGATGCTGGCCCCGGAACATGAGCTTGGAAGCCTTCCTTCCTCCTGAATGTTTGGGAATAGTTTAAGAGGAATTCACGTTAATAATTCTTTAAGTGTTCTGTTAAATGTATCCATGAAGTCATCGGCCCAGGGTTTTTGTTTGTGGGGAGTTTTTTTATTCCTGCTTTGATTTCATGAGTAGTTATCATTCTTTTCAGATTCTTTCTTCTACACTCAGACTTGGAAGATGGTACGTGTCTAGGAGTTTATCTGTTTCTTACAGATCGTTCAGTTTGTTGGCATATAGTTGACCCTAGTCTTGTGCGGTTATCTTTTCGTAGTTTATAGGTTAGCATACACGTGAGGGGATAGCAGTGCATGCCTGTCGTTTTTAAGTAGATACTTTTGCAAAATGGGGCGTGAAGTAGCGTGACAGGAGGTGTCTGCCTGCAGCCCCATCTCCTCAGTCACCTCTGCCCACCAGACTGACCAGGCCCAGGAGCAAGCTTTACCTCCACGTTTTCAAAATACAAATGTCAGTGACAGAGCACTGGAACAGAGCACAGTGCACTAACCCGTTCCCCTTTACCTGCAGCGATTTGGCGCTGGGGCGGGCCTGCTTCTGCTACGCGCTGCTCAGCTCCATCCCGGTGTCCGCCTACATCGTCCTGGTCACCGCCCTGCGCTACCACCTGTTCATCTGGAGCGTGTTCTCCCCGAAGCTCCTCTACGAGGGCATGCACCTGCTCGTCACAGCCGCCCTCTGCCTGTGCTTCACCGCCGTGGGCCGGTCCAGCACCAAGGCAGACACTGGGAGAATAGCACGTTGTTAAAGCCTCCTCTTTACTTCGTGGATTTGATTAGTAAAAGTAGGTGTAAGTGCAAGATTATTCTGAAAAGAAGAGGAGAATTCTACAATGTAAGTGAATAGCTTCAATTGCTTGGATGACTATACTTTTAGTTGAATTCAGTACTAAGTGGCTTAATAAAAGGTCACTTTAAAATACTTAGTTTGAATATGAGTCATAGTCCCCTGGAGACAGACAATCACTACAGAAGCTGCTGGACTTTCATTTGCTTCTGAATAAGTTAGGCTATGACCAGCCCTGTGTGTTTACGTGGTGCGCAAAAGGTTGCCAGAGCAGGTGTAATGTGTGTGGCCTTCAGAGGTAGGCCCTTCCATCTTAGGGCCCCGGAGCTCGGCTTCATGGGGTCACATCTGTCAGCACTGATGGCACTGAAAATTAAAACAGACATTTCAAAACAATTTATTCATTTAAAAATAAAGATATAAACTCTAATATATTTTTAAGAAAAATGACTATTTTCCACACACAAAAATTAGCAAGAAGAGTGGCATTATCTTATATCTTTGCAAATCTCCTGTCTGGCTCAGGTGGGGACAGCAGGGCTCTGCGCTCAGCCTGCTGGGCTGTATGCGGTGCAGGCGCAGCCTGGGCTGGACAGGAGGGTGTGGTCTGTTGGTGTCGCTGTGGGTGTTCTGTGTCCATGCTGTGCCGAGGCTGGAAGGCGCACTGGAAACAAAGCAGCGAGTGTGCACTGAGCTTCACCCTGGTGTCGGCAGCCCTGCAGCTGGAAATGCCACAGGGGGAGCTAGTGTGGGACGCGGCCATGAGAGTGACTATACTTTTTTACTACTTCTTGTGAGATTTAAACTTTTCCAAAATAAAGTTACTTTGAAAAGAAAGCTTAGTTGTGCTGTGCGGTCTGAAACCACACCATGACTGGCCTGGGCTGCATTGGCCGTTGTGCTCTGAGGAGACCCTCCCCAGATGTGGTCACTACACTCTCATCTGGAAAACAGCATGGCAACACGGTTCCTGATGCAAAGCCAAGCACCACAGTCCCACCGCCCACAGCCTCATCAGAACACAGTGCTGGGAGCAAGGGGGCAAGTGCACGTGTTCCAGAACCCTAACTTCTTGTGAAAACTCGGAGCTCATCAGCACATCCCGAGTTGTCTTGGCAACGACAGTCCACTTGGTTTTCAAGGAAATGACTGCCACCTCCCCGAACCCAAACCACTAGGTGGTCCTTTTTTCAGGTGAGAACGGGGCTTTCCTTGAGGCATCTGGTGCACCAGGTCCCGGCACAGTGAGGCGGGGGAGGGGTTTCTATCCCTCCTCACAGTCCTACCCCAGGCCCTCCTTCTCCACGGTCCCCACAGACTCAGTCTGGCTCCACTTCGGACTCGGAAGAGCGGTGTGATCTAGAAAGAACGGGCAGGTTCTTGCAGCCTCCACCACCTGGTCTCTCTCCCCTCTCCGTCCTCGGTTCCTGGCCTCCCCAGAGCCTGCCCCCTCTTTTTAAGAATAATGATTTGAGGCCCCCCCCCCAGGCGCGCGTCCCCGCCAGGCGGCCCTCCTCCCCCAGCCCCTGCGGACGGGGTGGATCCCGCTCCCTCCCCTCCCCACAGTGCCACAGGGCGCTAAGTGGCTGGGTCACCTAGCAGGCGCTCCCTGCAGGGTGGCAGTGGGGTTGGCCAGCGGGTCTCCCCATCCCTCGAGGCGACGGCCACGGCTGCACAAGAATGATAATGTATTTGTGGCCTTCAGCGTGAAGCAGTTAGTCAGTCTTCTGTGCTGTTGACATAGCAGCAGGACTGATGTTGTGGGAAGCGTGGACCTACTGAATGGGCAGGCAAGCAGTGTTAATGTTGCTGCTACCGCTTTGGAGAAAAGTAGCAGTTCGGAATCATTAAGTGACAAGGGTTCTGAATTGAAGAAAAGCTTTGATGCCGTGGTATTTGATATTCTTAAGGTTACACCAGAAGAATATGCGGGTCAAATAACACTAATGGATGTCCCAGTATTTAAAGCCATTCAACCAGATGAGCTTTCAATTTGTGGATGGAATATAAAAGAAAAATATAGTTCTGCACCAAATACAGTTGCCTTCACAAGAAGATTTAATCATGTAAGCTGGTGGGTTGTTAAAGAGATTCTTCATGCTCAAACATTAAAAATTAGAGCAGTTTTGAGCCACTATATTAAAACTGCGAAGAAACTGAGGAGCTATTGCACTCATGGCAGTGGTTTCTGGCTCACAGAGCGCCCCAATTTTTAGGTTGGCGAAAACATGGGCGTTACTAAGTCGAAAGACAAAACTACCTTTGAAAAATTAGAATATGTAATGAGTAAAGAAAACTGCAAAAGACTCAGAGACTATATAAGTAGCTTAAAGATGACGCCCTGAATTCCCTATTTAAGTATCTATTTGTCAGATTTAACTTACATTGATTCAGCATACCCGTCAACTAGCAGCATTCTAGAAAGTGAGCAGAGATCAAATTTGATGAATAACATCCTTTGAATAATTTCTGATTTACAGCAGTCTTGTGCATATGATACCCCATGTTGCCTCATGTCCAAAAATATCTGAACTCTGTTCAGTATATAGAAGAACCACTAAAGTTTGTGGAAGATGATAATTGCAAGCTTTCATTAAAGGTAGAACCGGGGACCAGCACACCGCACTCTGCCGCCTCTAGGGAAGACTTAGTGGGCCCTGAAGTGGGATCTCCACAAAGTGGAAGACGTGTGGCCGCTGAAGGAGCCTGATTACCACACACACTGCCATCCCCTCGGAACCTGATTCCACACAGACATAGGAAGTGCCATAGCCTGAGTTATAATTTCATTCATAAAATGAACACAGCAGAATTTAAGAGCGCGACATTCCCAAATGCAGGGCCAACACATCTATTAGACAATAGCATCTTGGAGCCCCACGCACCATCTCGAGGCCAAGCCAAAAGTTCTACTCTGTCTAGTGGAATATCAATAGGTAGCAGTGATGGTTCTGAACTAAGTGAAGAGACCTCATGGCCTGCTTTTGAAAGTTCTGCAGAATCAGAAGATTTGGCAGTACATTTATATCCAGGAGCTGTTACTATTCAAGGTGTTCTCAAGAGAAAAACTTTGTTAAAGGAAGGCAAAAAGCCTACAGTAGCATCTTGGACAAAATATTGGGCAGCTTTGTGTGGGACACAACTTTTTAACTATACTGCCAAATCTCTAAAAGCTACAGAAAGAAACATTTCAAATCCACATCAAATAAGAATGTGTCTGTGGTAGGATGGATGGTGATGATCGCTGATGACCCGGAACATCCTGACCTCTTCCTACTGACTGACTCTGAGAAAGGAAATTCATACAAGTTTCAAGCTGGCAATAGGATGAATGCATTGCTGTGGTTTAAGCATTTGAGTGCTGCCTGCCAAAGTAACAAACAACAGGTTCCTACAAACTTGATGATTTTTTAGTAAAAGCCTAAGAAAGAAGAGAGGTGAATTGTTGCTCCACAGAGGGAGCGAGGCCTGGTGGACCAGCGCCAGCAAAAACCAGTCCTGTGCCAGGGGAGCCGAGCTTCCCTTTTCCCTCCGGATTCTGAACCAAAAAGTACTAATTCCAGGGAATGAAGTGAGACATTCCCAGAGAACCAACTGCAGTTGCAAAACAAACTGCCATGGACCATGCTGCTTATCTCTGAACTGACCTGTGGAAACCACTGCCTTAAAAGAACACAAGGATAACCAACACCAAATAGTGTGTGTGGTCTCCTGGTGGTGCTGTGCTTGGAATAGATCGTAGCTCATTTGCATTTCTTTTAACTTTGTATTAATTTTAGGGGGGGGGGGAATCGCCTTTTTCAGATAGACTTTTAAAAAAAAAACCACGTCGTTCTAATGGGTTACATGAGGAGCTGGTTTTGAACCACAGTGTAAAGGTATTAATGGTTTTGAACCGGAGTATAAAGGTCTGACAAGCAGCATTCTGCCAGCAGCCTCCCAGAATGTGTGTTTGTCCTCCCTCCGTTCACCTGCGGCCTCATGCTCTCACAGCACGAGTGGAGGGACTAGAAATGTTGTACTGTGAGTTGTTGGGACTTTGGGACGTAGGGAGGGATTTTGTTTGGTTTTAGACGAGGAAAGATATTTTTAAACACTAAACTTTGGAGATTTAGTACTGTATGGGGAACACAACTTCCTGCAGGGGCATAACGGCCGAGTGTTCACCTGCCAGACACTTTTCACATGGGCTCCAGAAAACATGGTTGTTTCTGTGTTTAAGGTTAGACTCTATATGAATTCATTGCTGGGCCACAGATCTTCGTAGTAGGGATTGTATCCCAACCTAAATTTTCTTGAGATTTTATAGTAATTACTTTTCCACTTTAGTTGATTTCTCTCTTCTACCAGTCACAGGTGGTTTTTATCACCAAGGAGATAAACTGATGTTTTCCTTACCTTGTTTAATGTGCACAATGTCAGTTGTTGTTATTTTATTATTATTATTCATTTTCATTATTTTTGCTCAATATGAGATTCAGGGTCACATTTGTTTAAAAGAGATTCCATATATGTATGTATTAATTTAATTCTAAGGCATACAAAGTAATTTTAAAGGATAAAAGGTAAAAGGTTGAGATTCTGAGAATTTAAAGTATCAGAACTCTCCTTATACAACTTTTCTTTATTGCAAAACATTTTCCTGAAAACTTACTATTATGTATAGACCCCTGCCATGAAATCAGTAGTTGACCAAGTAGTTTTATGAGGGCTCTTCCATGCAGTAATGCATTTAATATCCAAAATAAATGTTGACTTGCTAAAAAAAATAACAATAAGATTGAAGATAAGATGCCTTGTAGGGGTGTCGAACTCAATCAGAGAAGGGGCCAAAATCTAAAATCCAGCCTAAATCGTGGGCCGAATGGTTTACTGAACAGTCATAAACTGTCATTGTGATGGAAACGCAGCAGAGTGCAGTGATGACAGCGCGGTGCGGGCCACATTGCAAGGCCTGGCGGGATGGATTTGGCCTGCGGGCCTTGTGTTTGACACATGTTCTAGAGTTTTAACAAAAAATGGTGTTTGAACAAAGGCTATGTCGGATGTTATAAACTCATGAGGCGTGATAGGTTTTAGCACTGGCCCAGAGTAAGAACGCCTCTGTCTGATACCTTCTACCAGGCTCTGTAACTTTGGGTCTCACATAAAATCGCTTGCATTTGTATTCTTAGAAAACGTACTTTTTTTTTTTATCGTATTTCATTCTTGAATCTATGAAACTTCAATAGAAAATATTGTCCACAGACTAATTAGCTAAAAGTCCATTCAGAGGGCAGTAGAAGAGCTTTCTCTGAGCACTGAGTTTTTTCCATTTAGATCTGTTCCCAGAGGACATGCAGAGTGCAGATACTTGTCTCAAACAGCACAGTTAGACATGCCTTGGTTTCTGGCTTTGTGGGGAGCGATGACACGGGCTGGTGAGGACAGTGTTGCCTGTGCTGAGTGATGTTTAAATTAACGGCCTCCTGTGCTTGGCCCACGTTGGGTGCACAGAGGGGCACCTCCTGCGGAGCCAGCAGTATTACTGTGTAGACCTTGCACATCTGACTTTTGTTGTGCATTTTTAATTTCTTTGTTTATTTCTCTTCAGAAAGAAATGTTTTTAATAGTGTATGTGCTTTTTAAAAAATACTATGGATGAGAACCCTGTGGATTTTTTATTATCATTATTGCTTTGTTTGTCGTAAATAAGCTACAGTAGATATGTCATAGAGGAACCACGTCTGTGGAAGTGGGCACCTGGAAGTCAGAGCCTGATGTTTTGGCAAAGAGGGAGCTAGACTGGAGATGTGTTTGATGTTTTCAGCTCTAAACATGAATGGATGCCTGCA